ACTGTAGGGAGTTGTTAGTCTGTGTGTGTGTGTGTCTGTGTGTGCACACTGAGGGACTGTAGGGAGTTGTGTGTCTGTGTATGTGTCTGTGTGTGTGTCTGTGTGTGCACACTGAAGGACTGTAGGGAGTTCTTAGTCTGTGTCTATGTGTGCTCACTGAGGGACTGACTATAAGGAGTTGGCTCACACCGTTATGGAGGATGAGGAGTCCAGGACCAGGTGACCTGGGGGCCCTAGAGAGCTAGTGGTACAGTTTGAGTCTCAGTTCAAAGGCCTGAAAACTGGGAGAGCCAGTGCTACAAACCTCAATCCAACTTCACGTCTGCAGGTGGGAGATGACCTCAAAGACCATCACACAGAGAGCAAATTCACCAACTCAGCCTTTGCCTTCTATGCAGGCCACTGGGGCTCAGTTGAGGCCACCCGTGTTGGAGACATTCATCAGTCTCCAGATCCCAGTGATAATATCACCTAGAAACACCCTCACAGACGCCCCACATGGGGTATTTACAAACATCCCTGTGGCTCAATTGCCACGTGAAGTTGACCCTTGTGGCCCCAGATGAGGCACAGAGCAAAGTGGGAAAGGGTCAGCACCTGAATCACAGCTCGGCCACTCTGGTGGGGTGGGACTCTGTGCCCAGTCCCCCGTCTGTGAAATGGAGGTCATGAGGACAGCTGACCCTCCAGTCCCCCATCTGTGAAATGGAGGTCATGACGACAGCTGACCCTCAGAGCTGTTTCAAAGAGTGAATGTCGTAGAGATTAGTTTATCCTTTCAACAAACATTTTTGGACACTTACGACACCAGGCACTGCCAGATGTCCTGGGAATACAGCTGTGAATAGGGACAGGCCACATGCTTCCTCTTAAGCTTTCATCTCCTAGTGAGGAGGTGGACATAGTGGGCGTTAGTGATAACAGGAAAAGGACACTGAGTTAATGAGATGAATAAAGCATTCAGGACAGTCCTGGCACATAGTAAATGCTTAATAAATGTGAGTAGGCAGCGTTCTCCTGGTCATCGCCATGGGTGGGACGGTCACTGCCATGGGTGGGACAGTCATCGCCATGGGTGGGACGGTCACTGCCATGGCTGGGACGGTCGCAGCCCTTTGTCTGCCTCCCAAAGTAAATGGGTAGGTCAGTGATAGTTTTAACAGTGATTACAGGAGGGTTTTACCATCTTTATTTATATATATCGTTTCTTGCTACAATGAATGTATGTTGCTTTTTTACCAAAAAGACAAAAGAAGGTAACTTCCCTAAGAAAACCAAATCAATAAAAAATATTAACAGGGCTGTGAGGGGGCAGTGGCAAAAATAGAGAAAAAATGGTGACACAAAGGTGAGGAGGGGACACTCAATCTGCCTTCCCCAACCCCATGAGGCAGACACAGTGAAACAGAGGCACAGACTCTCAAAGGGTAAGCTGCACTTTAGTACACAAACAATTATTTGTCATCTATTAATACTTCTTTACTTTGTCAAGGCTTTTCAGTGTTGTACTTAGCATTTTACAAAACTCGGAGCTTACTGCTCTTAGTATGCTAATTCTGATAGAGATTAGCAGACATCACAAAACCTCTACGGGAAGCTGACGGTTTATTATGTGTAACTGATTAGCATGTTCTCTGCACTTGGGTGAAACATGTGGCTGGCCAGGATCAAGACATAATCCCTCCTCAAGTTCCATTAAGAGAGGAGGGACAAAAACTGAGGAAGTTAAGATTTAGCCAACCCTGACCTTGAGGCCCTCGGGCAGCCCTGGGAGGCAGGTGTTTCCAGTTCCAGATGTGTGTATGGAAGAGAGGCTGGGAGTAGCTCTAGATCACACAGTAAGTGACTGATCCCAAATCCAAACCCTGTTCTGTCCCCAAGGCCAATCATTTCCCACCGGACAGCTGCCT